CATCTTAAATAGACACCCCTGGGCTCCTACTAAATGCTTTTTAACACCTTTCCATCCTTATCTCAAAATTTGCTTCTTTTTGGCTCCAGATTGCCTGAAATTTATCACATAGAAGCGAAATAAAATTGGGGGCATAAGAAAGAATGTGAGTGAGAAACTGCCAGTTAGGGGTCATTGCTATGTGGGAATAAATCATCCTGGTGATTAGATGGCTATGCTGAGTTGTGGAATTTATTTTCCAAGGAAAAAAGCTTTAATCTTAAAGCCTGTTTTGGATAATGTCAATAGGAAAAGGGCTTACAGCAGAAAAAAATAGATTTCCCAACTAATAGCTTCATCCTGTAAAAAGAAAAGGAAACTAATACAAGAAGAAGAAAAGTATGGTTGCTGAGGAAACCATATCTGGAGGCTATGTGAACTTTTGATAAATCTCAGTGCATTGCAAGTAACCCATGGCTATGTGTAGCAAGGGGACAGCGGGGGTCAGAGTTGTGGAAGCCTGAATCTATTGGATTTTTAATACTTATTATATCAACTGAGTTCTATGCAGATATCTAGAGAGGAGTCTCATAATGTTGTGATGTTGTGCATTGTGGCCATGACAAGTGTTGTTCCTGAATTTGGGCTTGGACATACCTGAGACATTCCTGCCTTGACACTTACTGTTTCCTCTGCTTGGTGTGATCTCCAAACGTCCACATGACTGTTGCCTTCATCATTCTTAGGTCCCTACTTAAGCCTTATCTTCTCAGTGAAACTTTCTCTAACAGTTTTATTGAAAACAACACCTGCATCCATCCACCAGCCCCCTCTCTCTTTCCCGGCTTTATTTTTTTTCTATAGCATGTACTACCATATAACATGGATTTTACTAGAATATTAGTCGCTCAAAATGATGCCTTTGATCACTATTATACCCTGAATGTCTAGCGGAGTGCTTCACTCATAATATGCATTTAGCAAATATTTACTGAATGAGGAGAGGCATGAGTTTTGATAGCTGTCAGGTTGCTAGCTCCAGACAAGGATTGTAAAATTTCTAGAAAAGTGCTTCACTCAGTAAGGTTGCCATCAAGTTACCACATAGGCTTCTTTGTTCACCAGGTGCTGAGATTCTTGCCTCTTTATACAAAGCCTGAACAGCATTGTTCGTGGTTTCCAGGAGCTTCCAGATGTCCACTCTGAGCCTTTTCTCTGCCATCATATAAACTTGTTCTTCCAAATGCCTGCTAGGTTATAGGCTGAAGCCATTCCTGAGACCTGAAGATATCTAAAACATCAATGTTGGAAAGAGCCTGGAAAGCCCATTTGTCAGTCTGCACGTCTGTAGATGGAAAAACAACAACTCAGAAAGGTGCCATAATTTGCCTAATGCTATGCAACCCATTTGGTGATCTGGAGCTGTCTTGGGGAGGAGAAAACTGAAGTTGTATGTTATCTTCAGATATGTTCTCACATATAATTTTCACAAACAGTGTGGGTCTGTTATGATTCTATGCATGGATTGAAACATAGAAATGTTCAGTTATGTTCACCAGGCTGCTCAGTTAATGCATGTTAAGGTTGGGCTTGCTTTTATTCCAAACTTATGGTCTATCAACTAAAGTCTATTTGTGCTGTAACTTGTGGGGAAAAGCCACACACTGGGCCCTTGCACATGACAGTGTGAAAGTGGGTGTGCACTCACATCTTTCTTTGCTTTTAGTCACCTTACATGTCTGATAGCTTTCACCTTCTTGTTACAGAAATGTCTAAAGGTCAATCTTCATCGTATTTACTTCTTTCTTTCCTGTGGCCGCATCTGATATTCCTCTCCTTTGACCTTTCTTATTAACTCTTTTTTTAAAAAAATTATACTTTAAGTTCTGGGATAAATGTGCAGAGCATGCAGGTTTGTTACATAAGTAGACACATGCCATGGTGGTTTGCTGCACCCATCAACCTGTCATCTACATTAGGTATTTCTCCCAATGCTATCCCTCCCCCAGCCCTTACCCCCTGACAGGCCCTGTTGTGTGATGTTCCCCTTCCTGTGTCCATGTGTTCTCATTGTTCAACTCCCACTATGAGTGAGAACATGTGGTGTTTGGTTTTCTGTTCCTGTGTTAATTTTCTGAGAATAATGGTTTCCAGCCTCATTCATTTCCCTGCAAAGGATATTAACTCATCCTTTTTTATGGCTACATCGTATTCCATGGTGTATATGTGCCACATTTTCTTTATCCAGTCTATCACTGATGGGCAACCCAAATGCCCATCTCCTATCAACTCTTAATAGTGCTCAGTTTTATGTATGTCTTATAGTAAAGAGGAACAAGACTATTTGGTCATTCTGCTTTCTCTTACTGCTGTAGTCTTAACTCCTTCTTTAATATTAGGCTTCCTGAATGAGCTCTTTGCATTCACTCCCTTTCAATTCCCTCCTCAATCCTGTGGTTCTGTCCTTACCACTTGCCAAGTGTTCCTGATAAGAGCACTAGTAATCTCTTTGTTAATAAATCCTGTGACTTCTCTTTAGATTTTTCTTACTTGACCCTTTGACAGCATTTGACATGGGGAACTGCATCATCATTCTCCAACCTCTCCCCTTGGATTGTGTATTAAGATGCTCTTGGGCTTTCTGCACACAACTCCCCAACTTAGTAGTCTTCACTGGATCTCCATAGTAGATTGCAAAGATGACTTTAATAATATTTCTTACCCATGAGCACATGTCCCTACAGAATGCAACTTTGTTGATCCTCAGTCAAGAAATGGAGTTTATTTCTGTATCCATTGAATCTGATAATGATCACCTGATTTGCTTTAAGGAAATTAGCAAATAGGATTTAGAGAAATTAGCAAACATGATGCAAACAAGGACTTAAACAGCGCTTGCACAATCGGCTTGTCCTCCTCTGACTAATTGGGACGCTGAACCCCTAGTGTGGATGTGCTGCATGGAGCTAACCTGCTAGTAAGGTCCCAGGAAAGGGAATCAGGATATTCTGACTTTCTAATAACCAGATGAGTGAGACCGTTTTAGATTAATCAGCCCATTTGAGTCACCAATCCACGATAGCCATATGAGTCACTGCAAGTGAGATCAGTGGAAAAAACACCTGAATAAAGCTGGCACAAATTGCCAAGCTGCAAAGTACGAGCAAATAAAAGTCACTAAGTTGTAGAGTGTTTGTTATGTAGCAGTCGATAACTAATACAGCCTTCCATTTCACCTATCTCTTCAATTTTAGTGTTTCCTTCTCAATCCACTTACGGATTGCTGTGCCCTGTCTTCTTATCCCATCCAAATATTTAAATTAATATCAGTATTCTAACAACAAATGTTGTAAAACAATATCTCCAAAGCAAATATTTAGCCTGATTCTTTGACTACAAAACCAACTGCCTATTGAATCTTTGCTATGCTTCTTGGACCCCAAAATTATTACATCCCAGATGGAATTCACCCCTGGAACTCTAAATATATTTCTCCTGTTTTTCCCTGGCTCAGAGAATAGAACAAAATTCTGCACATATTTTTTTTTTTTCAAATCTGGAAACAGAATCTCTTTCTTGTCTCCTCCTGTCTCTTATATTCAATGTTTAATCAGTCACCAAGTCCTATAAATATTCTTCCTTAATCTCTTTTAAAGTCGTTCACCTCTATTTGTCCACATTTCCACTATCTTAATTCTAGCCATCATCATTTTCTGCCACAATTACTGCCAACATCTTCTTAAACAGATGAACTCTTACCATTTAGCTGCCAACCAAGAAATTCTTGAAAACACTGTATGTTCTTCAATTTGGGGCTGTAGCATATAAATCCTAAGTTTAATATAAATGTCTTCAATGTGTATTATGTATAAATCAATTTTATAAGTTTATTAGATGATATTTGTTATTTATGATGTCCTAATCTTCTCTATCTGATTTTGTTTCCTACTTGTTAATTATGGGAAGAGGTGTGTTAAAATCTCATGATATGGAATTATCTAATTCTTTGGGTAGTTCTATCAAATTTTGAGTTTTATATTCTGAGCCTTTTTTTTAGGTGTATAAAAGTCTGAAATTGTGGCATCTTCTTGGAATGAGTATTGAATTTTTAAAAATCATTATGAAGCAACCTCCTTAATAACTAATAATGCTTTCTACCTTAATTCTGATTTTGTGTGATACTGTTTTATGTGCTGATATTTGCTTAATACATTGTTTTTATACATTTAATTCACAGCCTTTCTTTGCTCTCATGTTTTAGGTATATTTTTATCTAGTTTGACTATATCTTTTTAACTGGTAGGATTAGTCCATTTCCATTAGCGATTACTGATATATTTGGATTTATTCACATTCTTTTGTTTTACACTTTCCATTTGTTTAGCTTTACATTTCTCTTTTCTTTGAATCAAGTGAGGTTCTCCCCACCCTCATGATTTCCTTAGTTTTTTTGAATTATTTTGGAGTTTTAAAATTCCATTTATTTTATTTAATTGGTTACTCTTAAGTTTTTACCATGTGTGTAATTTAACAAAGTCTAAAATAAATAAAATATTTGCCTTTTTCCCAAAAATGTAGAAAATTTGAAATATTTAATTCTCAAATACTCTCCCAGAATCTACATTTTTACCTAAAACTTTTTTGCATTTATTTACATTTTAATACACAAATGGAACATTGCTATCATTGTTTTCACAATTAAATGTTTTTAGATCTATCCTCATTTAAATTATTTTCTTTGGTCACTACTCTTTAGATCTCTAATCTTCCATTTGAAATTATTTTCCTTTTTTCTAAACAATATACTTTATTATAAATATTATAAAGTAATTCCTAAAGAACATTACTAAAGTATATTCCTAAATATTACTAAAGTATATTATTTAGGAATTACATTAGTCAGTGTCTGTTGGAAGCTAATCCACGTTTTGTTTGTCTGTAACTGTCTTTATCTTACCCACATTTAACAAATATTGCCTTGATGGTTATACAATTCATCATTGACAGCTCTTTTATTTCAGTACTTTGAAATGGATTCCACCATCACTGCTGGGAGTCAGCCATCAGTCTAGGCATCATGACTCTGGAGGTAATGTGTTTTTCTCTGTGGATTTTTAAAGACCTTGTTTCTTGGTGTTTGGCAGACTCATCGCATTGTGTCTTGGCATGGGGTTCTTTTTATTTATCCTAATTAATGGTTAGAAAACTTATGTCTTTTATCAATTCTGGAAAATCTTAAGCCATTAGCTCTTCAAATATTTTCTATCTACCAGCCTATTATTTCCTTTTAAAATTCCAATTAGGCATGTCTTAGGTCTCATCACCTCTGATTATACTTTTTATTTCTGTGCTAAGTTATGTTTAGTTTCTTTGGCATCTATCTTCCAATTGAGTAATTCTCTTGTCATTCTGCGACTATTTTTAGTTCAGTAATTCATGCTTCAAATGGGTCTAATATGTGACTTAGACTGCCTTTTGTTTTTATTTTCATTTATTACATTTTTCATTTCTATAAGTTCTCTTTGAGTCTTTCAAATATGCTGGGTCATTTTGAGACATGATTTTGATGATGTTTATTTCCTCAAATATATTACAAACATATTTTTTAGATTCTATGTGAATCTAATCATTCTTAAAATCTGAAGATGCTGTGCTTTATTTTTCTCATTTGGCAAATAAGGATAAAGTAATTGTTACTCATTGGATTATTTTGAGGATTAAATGGTTTTATAAATGTGATGTTCTTAAGATAAGTATCTTGCACACAACAGAGTGACCTCTGCAAGTGTTAGTTGTTTTTATTATTATTGCTGTGTCATTAGTAGAATTCATTTTTTTTGTTTAATGACTCCAAGTGACTTATTTTTCTCATGTGTTAAATAATTCTGATTGTTAGCTCATATTCCTTATTATCACACATTATAATTTGAAATTTCTTAAGGCTTGTACATAAGGTACATTCCTCCAAAGAGGACTTGCATTGGCTTTTGCTGAGCCGTACTACCAATCTCAATTAGCTTAAGTTAATTTTGGCTTGGTTGTTTTTAGGTCACATTGACAGTGTGAATTTTAGCTCAAAATTTGCCTGAGGGTTGGATACTGGTTATAAATTCTCAGGGGAGATTTCTTTCCCCTTCACTCAGAAACAAGACTAAATGAGGCAAACTTCCTTATTGTCAGTCTTTGCGAGATAGGTTCTTTGCGAGTCCACCTCATGAGGTTGTCACTCTTTAGGGTTCCAGATTTTCTGGGTGTCCCTGATTGCAGGTTCCTTTGTATGATGGTCCTGTATCTTCAAGGTAATTCAGTAGCTTAAGTGCTTATTCATTTTTTATGACTTCTTTTTTTGAGAGTCATTTTTGACTAATTTTCTTGCCATCTCCCCCTCCCTTAAAAATTTATTTTGAGCATTTTATCTAGAATTTGTAGGTGTTTTGACCTCAGAGGTTTTTTCTGTAAAGGGCAGCACATATTTCAGGATTTTTAGTCCATATAGTCTTTGTTATAACTATTAGTTTTGCTGTTGTGGCACAGAAGCAGTCATAGACAAAATGTAAACAAATGGGTATGACTGTGTTTCCATTAAACTTTATTTACACAATTAGGTGACAGACTAGATATGACCCATAAGCTTTAGTTTTCCAATCTCTGTTCTATAACATAGCTGAGATTAGAAGACACTGGAATACTATTTCTGAAAGTTGCTTCTAAGACTCTTACCACTGACTGCTAAAGGAGAACCACCGTTGGTTACTGCTTGATTGAAACCTCACACTTGCTTTCTTTTTTGCTTGAAGCTGAAAGTCTCATAGGAGAAAATCCAGTAGGCGTTTTCAGGGAGAAAACCTGGGTGTGGGGGAGTAGGGGTGAGTTAGGACCCAGCTAGAGTTGAGATGTGGGGGAAAACTTGAATTGTGTGTTTGCCTTTCAGGTTCTTTTTGAGGGGAGTCTCTTTGATGCTTGGAATGAATCCTGCTGGATCACTGCCGATGCTTGGAGATCTTCACGTCTCTTCCCTCTTTCCCATTGCTCATGATGTCTGTGTAACCTCCAACTATGCATCCCACTCCTCTTCTGAGAGACCATTTTTTCATATCTTTGGTGATGGTATAGGCCAGGATGATTGGCTTTTCTGTTTTTCTTAAACCAGCTGAAGTCCTCACCACAAATTAATGCTATATTTTGGCTGATTCACTGGGCCTGAATGATAATGTTATTTCCCACAGTGCACTAAAACATGGGGCAGAAATGGAAAGGTGGATGTATTTCTTAATTTCCTGAAATCTAAGCAGTGAAGTCTCACTTTTACAACAAAGGCAGCTTTGATAGAATGTTTGGAAACAAGTCTTTTGCTGAGCTGGTTGTGAAATCTTATTGGTTGGAGAGAATGCAAGTGCATTTCAGTGAGCACAGGTGCTGGAAGTAAGGAATCAGGAGTAGAGTCTACAGGTGCGGAAAAAAAGATTTTTATAGAGACCCCCAGCTCGAAATGTAGTTGCTCAAAAGCTGGACTTGGCCATTCATTTATTTGAAGCCCTTTGAAAATCTGACATTTCTGTGGGCCTGTTAGTGGTGAACTGGGTTGGGGGGGGTGAGTGGGGTGAGGGAGGGAGCTTGCCAGCTTAGAGGTTAATTGTGCTAATTAACAGAAAGGACACAGGCTTCAGAAAGTGCCTCTGTGGACTGGAAAAATTTCCCAATATTTCATTAGGGTGACTTTGAAAAGGTTGCAGGCAAATGGCACTTTTCACTTTAAAAATCTAAACCATGGCTTTTTAACCATTTTTAAAGTTTGAGTTTGAAAAGTCCACTTTTAGTGTTATTTAAAACTTGTCCCATGGGAAGTCTGGAGGAAAGGAAAGACTGCATTTTTAAGGGCATCGTTCTCGCCTTTCATTCCTTTATGCTTAGCATTTTCTTTCTCGACACTTATTTTAAAAGCCTCATTCTCTCCTCCTCCCAGTGCGAACCCACGCCATATCCCCGAATCTGTTGTGGAAGAGCAGACTGGAAGACATCTGCCTCTTGCCTTATTTTTTTTAATTCCTCTAAATGATAGAGCCAAGTCTCCACACCAGAGCTCCCTCTCCCTGAACAAACCAAATGGCGGCTGTTGGCAGCACACTGACAGCTTGTTAATGGAGGAATCCTTGACAGTGTGACAACCTGCCTGGGCTGCGCAGGAAGCCAAATCCGCCCCCACACAAACCCGGGTAATTAACAGGTGGAGAAAAATAGCAACTAACTGCCACTGAGGAGAGGAAAAATAGTCAACCTAGTGAATTATGTATATTAAAGTATAATATCTCTTTTACAATCCCTTTCCTAGTTCTTGCTAGCAAGCTCTACTGGAAAGTGCTTTGACTTTGGAGTCAGGCGAGCCTGGATTTGAATCAAAGTTTGGCCACCTACTGGCTGTGTGTGACTCTGGGAAAATTCCCTTACTGAACCTCCATTTGTGAGCAGTTCTACGGTCAGATACAATTACAGATGCCACTTATCGGTGTTCAATCGTCAAAACCTCTTTATGATGATGGATTTGCAAAATTGTTCTTGTAGTTCTGTCAAGTTTTGTTTTTTATATTGTGAGGCAGTTTTTTGGTGCACTAGGTTTGAAATTGTTATTTCTACTAGGCAAATTGGGCTTTTTATCATTAGACAGTGACTTCCTTTCTTTCTAGTCATACTTTTTGTCCTGAAATTATTTTTTGTGATGCTATTTTATGTACACACACACACACACACACACACACACATACACACACACACACACACTCACTCACTCTCTCTCTCTATTTGGTAATGTTTCTGTGCTTTCAGGTTTCACGGGGCTAGGGATACAGGATGAAGGGCATAGAGAAGGGGAGGGTTCTGGTTAGCTATTGCTTGATTAAGGCATCCACACTGGTTGAGCTGACTGTCTAGACATCATTTTCTCCCAGCTCCCTCAAACCCAAAATATATCTGCATGAATTCCAATAAAGAAATCTTTTCAGAGAAGCATGTGCTGGCACCACCCACACCAGCTGGAACATTTGTCTCTCAGCTCTGACCTACAGTAGAAAAGACATGGAAGGAATTTCTCAAAACTTAGATCTGTAGCTCTTGATATAATACCAGGGGCTAAAATGAATTTAGAAGACATTCAAGACTGTTTAAAATAGTTATTTTCAAGCTTTCTTGTGTCTTAGATCTCTTTGTGAATGTGATGAAAGCTATGGACTCTCGCCTCAGGAAAAAATGCGAAACCACAAGATTTTCAAACAATTTTAGCTGATCCTAGTTTTAGTCCTAAAGTTCCAGAGACTCCAGGTAAAAGGACAGTTGTTTAATACTCAAGTAAACATTAAGGGATAAAAGGTAGGATGGAAAATGTAGATACATGCAAATATATGGGTTAGAATGGTGGACTGTGCAGTCATGGCAGAAAGTTTGCTGCCGACTCTTTTCTAGGGTGGGATCAGATTTATCAGTGAAACAATGGTCCTGAGCAGAACTGCCCTGTGGCAAAGGAAACCTGAGCTGAAGACTAAATGAGAAAGTCCAGAACCAGTGAACATGACCCCGGGTAAAAACCTCTAGAAAACATCCCCCAAGGAGGGCTTCATAACCCAGGGCTCACTGAAGAAAATTTCAATTGAAGATAAGCTGAGGAGAAAATATCACAAAACACTGAAAAACGCCCCTGTGAACGGTAAGTCAGCAGGTGCAACAAATAAAGCATTCATGCCCAAGAAAGTAAAAGTAATGAAATCAGCTGAAAAGTACTTTAATGTAACAGTGTTGAAAATATTTAAAGTTTAAAAAGGATAGAATCCATAAGAATGGAGATAATGGAAGAGGACAGAAAAACTTGGGGGAAAAAGAGCTGGTTTCAGAAAAGAAAAATATCGGTATGGATTGGAGGAAACATTAAGGACACTTTCATCGGTAGACTACACAGGGTTAAGAAGTGAATAAGTAAAATGGAAAGATTGTCAGAGGAAATCATCCAGAATACATCAGAGACAGAAGAAGAGTTGAGGGCTAAGAAAGAAAAGCTGAAGAACGGAAGAATTTGGAATTTTGCCCTAGACACACAGTAGTGAAACTCCAACATTCATGTATCATGGGAAAGTTCTAAAAGTTATCAGGCAGAAGAGACAGCTTATTTTAAAAAGTCACTGTCAGACAAAAGGCAGACTCTCATTATCAGTAATAGATGCCAGGAAATAAAAAGGAAAGAAATAAAAATATCTCCAGGGCACTGAGGCAAAATTGTGTGAATATATATCTTACTAATGCAAATGATGCAAAAACCAAAACAAACCAAAACAAAAACTGAACACCTGTTGGAAATGTTGAGTTCACTCTGGTCTGTGAAATTTAAAAAAAGTTATTTTCATCTCAATATTTCTGTATTATTCACATTTCCTGTAATAAACATGATTTACTTATGTAAAAAGGTGAATATTAAAAAACAAATATTCTGAGTTGAAATTATAGGAACTTTGTTAATGTCTGTTCAAATTAAGCTCATTCTTTAAGGCTTAGCTCTAATAACATTAAACATTGTTTATTGATATACAGTATTTGAGTCTTCTCATGGTGTAGATGTGGTATTTTGCTGCATGCATAGAATGTATAATGATCAAATCAGTGTATTTAGAGTCGTCATTTTGACTGTTTATCATTACTATGTGTTGGGAACATTTAAAGTCCTCTCTTCTAGCAGTTTTGAAATATACAATACATTTTTAAAATTATAGTCACCACATGCTACTATCAAACATTGGAACTTAGTTCTTCCATTTAACTGTATGTTTGTACACATTCACCTGTCTTTCTTCACGCTCTCACTCCCAAATCTCCACAGACATCCTTCACAATACTGGGTAACTAGCATTCTAACATCTACCTCCATAAGCAACTTTTCTAGTTCCCACATATAGTGAGAACATGCGATATCTGTCTTTTTATGCCTGGCTTATTTCACTTAATGACCTCCAGTTTTATACATGTTGCTACAAATGACAGGATTTCGTCTTTTTTTTTTTTTTTTTTTTTTTTTTTATGGCCCAAGAGCATTCTACTGTGTATATGTGCCACATTTTCTTTATTCATTCATTCATTCATTCATTCATTCATTCATTCAATGGTGGACCCTTGGATTGATTCCATAATTTTGCTATTGTGAATAGTGCTGCAATAAGCTTGAAGGTACAAGCCTCCCTTTAATATACTGATTTCTTTTCCTTTGGATAAATACCTGGTAGTGGGATTACTGGATTTTCTGGTATTTCTATTACTAATTTATTTGAAAAATGTCTACACTGTTTTCCAGAATGGCTATACCAATTTACATTCACACCAGCAATATATAAGAGTTACACTTTCTACAGTATGGAGATTCCTTAAAGAGCTAAATATAGATCTACCATTAAATCCAGCAATCTCATTACTAGGCATCTACCCAAATTAAAAAAAGTCCTTATATGAAGAAGACACCAGCATATGTATGTTTATAGCAGCACAATTTACAGTTGCAAAGATGTAGAACGAACCTAAGTGCCCCTCAGCTAATGAGTGGATAAAGAAAATGTGGTATATAGACACCATGGAATATTACTCAGCCATTAAAAGGAATGAAATAATGTCTTTCACAGTGACTTGGATGGAGCTAGAGGCTATTATTCTAAGTGAAGTAACAGGACTGGAAACCCAAAAACCATATGTTCTCACTTATAAGTGGGAGCTAATCTTTGAATAAGCAAAGGCATACAGAGTGATATAATAAACTTTAGAGACTCCAAATAGGTAGTGTGGGAGGCAGACTAGAGATAAAAAAAACTACACATTAGGTTCAGTGTATACTACTCAGGTGGTGGGTGCAGTAAAATCTCAGAACTCACCACTATGTAATTTATTTATGTAACAAAAAACCACTTGTATCCCAAAAGCTATTGAAATAAAATTAATAAGGAGTTATGTTTTATCTGTATACTCACCAGCATCTATTTGTTTTGTATTTTTAGTAACAGCCATTGTGACTGCGGTAAGATGATATCTCATTGTGGTTTTCATTTGCATTTCCTGGATGATTAGTGATATTGAGCATTTTTTCATAGGCCTTTTGACTATTTATACATCTTCTTTTGAGAAATGTCTATTTATGTCCTTTGCTCACTTTTTGTGGGATTATTCTTTTTTTTTGCTATTGAGTTGTTTGAGTATTTTGTATATTCTGGATGTTAATCCCTTGCTGAATGAATAGTTTGCAAATATTTTCTTCATTCAGAAGATTGTCTCTTCACTTTGTCGATTGCTTCCTTTGCTGTGTAGAAGCCATTTGTTTAATATACACCCATCTATCAATTTTTCTTTTTGTGGTCTGTGCTTTCGAGGTCTTGGTCATAAAATATGTGCCTAAACCAGTGTCCTGTAGTGTTTACCCTAGGTTTTCTTCTAATAGTTTTATAGTTTTGGGTCTTACATTTAGGTACATTTAATCCATTTTGAGTTGAATTTCACATGGGATGAGAGATCGAAGTCTAGTCTCATTATTCTACATATGAATGCCCAGTTTTCCAGCACCACTTATTGAAGAGGGTGTCCCTTTCCCAATGCATATTCTTGGAAACTTTGTTGAAAATAAGTTGGCTGTGAATATGTGGATTTATTTCTGGAATTTCTATTCTGTTTCATTGATCCATATGTCTGTTTTTATACCAAGATCATGCTGTTTTGATTAATAGCCTTGTGATACATTTTGAAATCAGGTAGTGTGATACTTCCATTTTATTTTCCCCTCAAAATTGCTTTGGCTATTTGAGTTCTTTTTTGGTTCTATATAAACTTTAATATTTTTTGTCTATTTCTGTGCAAATGTTATTAGTATTTTGATAGGGTTGTGTTGGATCTATAGATTGCTTTGGGTCATGTGACCATTTTAACAATATTAATTTTTCTCATCCATGAGCATGGAATGGCTTTTTATTTGTTTCCTCTTCAGTTCTGTCATCAGTGTTTTTCAGGTTTCCCTATAGAAGTCTTTCATTTCCATGGTGAAATTTATTCCTAGGTACTTCATTTTTTTTGTAGCTGTTGTAAATGGAATTGTCTTCTTGATTTTTTAGCTAGTTCTTTATTGGTGTATAGTAACAATACCAACTTGTGTATTTTGATTTTGTATTCTGCAACACTACTGAATTTACTTATCAATTCTAAAAGTTATTTGCTGGAGTGTTTAGCTTTTTCTAAATATACAATCATGTTGTCTACAAAGAGGGACAATTTGGCTTCCTCTTTCTAATTTGTATGCCTTTTATTTTTTTCTCTTGCCTGATTGCTCTGGCTGTAATAGGGTTTGTATCATGAAAGATTTTAAAATTTTATCAGATATTTATTCTACATCTATTGAGATGATAATATGGTTTTCAGTCTTAATTCTGTTGATGTGATGTATAATGTTTATTGATTTGCATATGTTGAACCATCCTTGCAATCCTGGTATAAATCCTATTTGATCGTGGTGTATTAACTTTTGGATGTCTTGCTGAATTCAGTTTGTTAGTATTTTGTTGAGGATTTTTGCATCTATGTTTATCAGAGATATTGGTCTATACTTTTCAATTTATACTTTTCAATTTTGGGGAATAATTTGAGGATAATTCATTTTAGTTTTTCTTTATAAGTTTGGTAGAATTGAGCAATAAAATAATCAGTCCTGGACTTTTTGTTTGGAAGTATTTTCATTATTATTCAATCTTGTTACTCATTATTGGTCTGTCCAGATTTTCTCTTTCTTTCTGATTCAATTTTGGTAGGTTGTAAATGTTTAGGAATTTATCTTTTTCCTCTAGCCTTTTTCATCTGTTAGCATCTGGTTGTCAATAATATTCTCTGATAATTTTTTGTATTTTTATGGTTTCAGTTATGTCTACTTTTTAATTTTTGAATTTATTTTGGCTTTCTCTATTTTTTTTTCCTGGTTAGTCTACTTACTGGTTTATTGATTTTGTTTATCTTTTCAAAAAACCAACTTTTTGTTTCATGGATCCTTTGTATGTTTTTAGTCCCTATTTCGTTTCAGTCTGCTCTGATCTTTATTCTTTCCTTCTACTAATGTTTGTGGTTTGTTCTAGTTCTTTGAGGTGCATCATTATTTGAAATCTTTTTACTTTTTTGATATAGGCATTTATTGCTGCAACCTTTATTCTTAGGACTGTTTTAGCTGTATTCTATAGGTTTTAGTATGCTGTTTCTCCATTTTCATTTGTTTTCAGAAATTTATTTATTTATATTTTTCTTAATTTCTTCATTGACCCTCTGGTCCTTTAGGAGCATGCCATTTGTACAATTTCCAAAATTCATTTTGTTATTGAGTTATAGTTTCATTCCATTGTGGTCTGAGGAAATACTTGATATGATGTCAATTTTTAAAAATTGGTTGAGGCTTGTTTTGTAGTCTAACATATGGCTTTTCCTAGAGAATGTTTCATGTGGGGTTGAGCAGAACAAGCATCCTCAGCTACTGGATAAAATGCTCTTTATATGTCCATAGTTCCATTTAGTCTAAAGTGGAATTTAAATCTAATGTTTCTTTATTGATTTTCTGTCTAGATGTTCTGTTACTGTGGATGGGGTGTTGATGTCCTAAACTGTTTGTTACTGTATTGCAGTCTATCTCTCCATTTAAATCTAATAATATTTACTACATATGTCTTGGTGCTCCAGTATTGGATGTTATCTATTTAAAATATTATATTCTCTTGCTGAATTTATTTCTTTATCATCATATAATTACCATCTTTGTATCTTTTAACTATTTTTGACCTGGAATCTGTTTTATCTGGTATCAGTATAGTTACTTCTGCTCACTTTTGATTTCTGTTTTCATGGAGTATCTTTTCTATTCCTTGACTTTCAGTCTATGAGTCTTCACAGTTGAATTGAGTTTCTTGAAGGCAACATATAGTAAAGTCATGTTTTTTAATCCATTCAATAAGTCCATTGTGTGAAACATATAATTTATTTACATTTAAGGTTGTTGTTTATATGTGAAGGTTTATTCCTGTCATTTTGTTAATTATTTTTTTGTTGTTGTATATGTTATTTTCCCTTTCTTTCCCTCTTGTTGTTTATGGTCACAGTTTGGTGATTTTATGTAGTGTTAACATTTAAGTCCTTTCTCTTCCTCATTTGTGTGTTGGCTCTACCAGTGAGTTTTATACTTTTATATGTTTTAATGATGGTAGAAATCATCCTATCACTTCCAGATGTAGGACTTTCCTAAGAATTTTTTGTAGGGCTGGTTTAATGGTTATAAATATCCTCAGTTTTTATTTGTCTCAGAAGACTATTTCTCCTTCATTTACAAAAGATACCTTTGCTGGGCATAGTGTTTTTGACTCACAGTTCTTTCATTTAATGCTGTAAGGTTTCTGCTGAGAAATCTCCTGTTAGTCTGATGGTGTTTTCTTGTATGTGACTAGATGCTTTTGTCTTGTTGTTTTTTAGAATTCTCTCTTTGTCTTTTAC